ATAAATAGATTTAAAGAGCTATAATCCTCGAATTTAATAGCGTGGAATTCGAGATATAGCTGTTGCCTTAGAACCGGCCCGGAACCTTCATAGGTATCCTTTAGTAATTTTAGGGCTTCTGCTGGGTCTTTATTATTAAAAACCAGGCTAAGAGGTTCTGGCTGTAAATTTTGCCTTATAACTAGTAAGGCTTGTGATTTTTGCTCTTCGGTTATAGCTGAATATTTCTCTTGATCCTCAAAGTATTGGGATAAATTCAGCAATTTAAAATAGATTTGAAGGGTAGTAATCCAGGTATTCCAGTTATCTATACCCTTTAATCGTTGATTTTCAGGCATTAAACAGCCTGTAACGGCTCTTATAGCAGTAGTAGTAGTCGTAGTAGTCGAAGACATATTGACTTTTAATAGGGTGCTTATTGCCCTTAAATATAGGGACTTATAGCCCTTGGGTACTTATTGCCCTTGAGATAGGGGACTTATAGCCCAAAAACTGCTTATAATATAGGGAATTTATCCCTTAATAGGCTGCTGAAGATACTAAGGAGCTATGCCTTGAGTAAATAACAGGTATTTTGCCTTGTTATTAAGTGCTAAGCCCTAGGATATGCCTTTATAATAGGGTATATAAGCACTAAAAGCAGCAAGTAATATCTTAGAATAATAGTTTCTAAGACGTAATCCCCTTAATAGTCTCGTATTTAGTAGTACTAAGGACTTACACTTCGTCTGCCTTAATAGTACTAGAATAGAGTTAAAGTTTTAGACTTTTCGTCTTAGGGGAATATAGCCGTTATAATAATAACCGTTATAATAATATACGGTTTAAAAGAATAATAAATATAAATTCCTAAAACTTATATCGTTTATAGGAATAAAATAGAGTTTAAGATATTTAATAACCGAAGAGTTGAGGATAAAAGAATAAGTAAAGTTATTACTCCGCTGGGCTCATAACCTGTTGGAACGGTAGGTAGGAATCTCGTAGATAGTACGATATCCTTATAACAGGGTATTAGAGTAAGGGAACTTGTACTTATGAAGTAGGGCTTTAATAGTAAAGAATGTATAGGCTTATATTGAAGCTGAGTTGGTTGAGGAACTAATAGCTAGCTAAGGGAGAGAATTAGGCTAGTTATATAGTAGTATAACGTCGCCTATAATAGCTAATATAGGAAGCTATAAGCTAGGTTTAGTATACGTAAGTATATACGTCAACTAGCTTATAAAGCAGCTTATAAATCAGACTAGAATCTTCTTTAACTAAATAGACTTTTAGATAAGGTTAAAGAGAGTATTCCATAGGGATCTGAATGTCATATGTTTAAACTAGCAAGCAGCCATTCTTAGCTAGTTACTTTTGTAAGTCCTACTAAGTCTTAGATAAGACTAAATAGGATAAATAAGTAAAATAGAAGTATAATATACTTATACTTCTAACATAAGGCTACGAATTATAGGTGGCTAGCGGTTAAGAATCCTGCTGCGCCTGAGTCGGGTATAATCCCTTAGAAGTTCTAGGCAGAGTAGCATCCCTCGAGTATAAATTGCGAAGGTAGCTTTTTCGGTTCTAGTTAGTTGCGGAAGAGGTCTTCTTTCGTAATAGTATAGCAGGTTAACTAGTCTGCTAGGATCGTAGCGATCCTATTGCCGTTAATTACTATTATAGTAAAATAGGCGGTGACTTAGAATTAACTATCGCTGCCGGTCTCTTCTTCTTCGTTACTTTTACTAGTTTGTTCGGTTACGTAGTAGTATTGCTAGGGGTCTTCGGCGGTAGGTTATAAGTCTAACCTATCGAAACCCTTATATTAGATAAGAAATTAGCTATATGCTAGAAGTAACGTATCCTAGGCATATTAAGTAGTTTTAAACTTCTCGTACGCTTTTCGTCTCTCTTCTATAGTATGTTTAGTTAACTAGCAGTTAGGTTTTCTATATACGTAGCACTTCTTAAGCGTTAGCAGTAATAAGGGTTTGTTACGGCTTCTTCCTCGTAATAATCGACTTCGTAATAAACGACTATATCGTAAATAACGCTTTCGACCGTTGAAAGTTCTATCGGTCTAGTACTACTCTAGTAGGTTAGCTATTATATTAAATTATTATTAGTTAAGACAGGTAGCTATCTCGATCGACAAGATTAATTAGCTACGAAGTCCTTCGTACGTCTTAGCCGGTATAAATAACGCTATTATATACTCTGGAATATCTCTATAAGCGTATAGAAGTTAGGTATAGAGGGATCGGTCGTTATAATCCTGTTATAGCAAACCAGGCTAAATCTTACTTAATTTGTTATATAGTATGTTAAAATACTCCGATTTAGTCTTTCTAAGGTTATTGCGAATGATTTAGGGAAGAGTAGTTATATTCTACTACGTAACGTATGCTTATTACCTTTCCCTAGTCTCGAAGTATGATTTTAATTAGTTGATTATAGTCTCGAAGTTAGGCTATAGGTTAATTACTTTAATCGAGGCGTAGAAGTAGGTTTTAGCTATTCCTTTTAGTATTAGGGGAAGTACCTTGTTATATTAGGAGGTGTAAATTCCTAGCATTCTATAGTAATCTACGAATACTAGCATCTTCTTTTCAAGTATATCGTATATATCGCCGCTATATTTTATATCGTCGGGGTATAGTTTCGCGAATTCTGTTAATTGCTTTCCGATACGGTCTATTAACTCGTATAGTTAGAAGTCTATTAACGGAGAGACCGTAGGATATAGCGGTCGGTACGGTAGTTGCTACTATTATTATTCTTATAGAGGAGGTGGCTATAGGGTTAGTTCGACTCTTCCTCCTATGCTGTTAGCTACTATTGCCGGTCTCGTAATCTCTTCGTAGAATTCGGGGTCTTTTATCAAAGCCTTTAGGTTGCGATATCTCTTAACGCCTTGTTCGAGTTCTTAAGGTAACTAGTAGTAGAATTCTTCCTTTTTAAAAGCTAATGCTACGTTTTTCGAGATTTTCTTACTATCTATTTCGACGTAGACGCTATTACCGATTAAATAGTCTCTAAAGAATCGTAGGATTAGGGGAGGTACGTTCTAAAAGTCTTCTTCTAACTAGTCGGCGAAATCGGGAGAAACTTCGTTCTATAGCTTAAGGCTTATAAGATTCCTCTTCTTATAGGTCTTAAGTAGGAAACCTATATAGGAACCTAGTTGCTATAGGCTAGCGTTTATAAGGTCGATTGCCTAGTTGCCTTATACTGCTAGATCGATTATACTTTCGATTCTCTATAAGATAAGGACTATTAATTAGCTTTTAGTAGTAACGCTGCTTGCGGGCGATCCTTCTCGTAAATTTCGCTCTATTCTGATAGTATAAAAGGATTACTTCTATTTAGAATCTTAAATTCTAATCCTTAATAGCGTTAGCTACGATTAGTATAAGATATAGGCTTAGAAGTAGGAGTTAAAAGACGATTCGGGATATTACGATTCTAAAGGGAAAGAATCGTAAAATCGGGGATTTTCGTCGGTTCGTCGTTTATTTCCGTCAGCGCCGTTCTTACTAATATTCTCGAAGGGTATAAAGGTATATATAGGTCTCGAATTAGTAAGGAGAAAGTTCTACCGTAGATTCTCTCGTAAATCTCTCTTTCTCGCTTCAGGCTTTGCTCCTTACTATTAAGAAGTTTAGAATCTAGTAGATAGTTAGCTTTATAACGCTTATAACTACGTATATTTCTCCTAAGCCGTAGCCTCGGAGGCGTATACATATAGCTATATAGGCGGATTACCGCTAGTAGTCTCTACTTGCCTTTCGGCGTATTTTTCTTTTAGTAGGGAGGTCTTTTATAGCAAGCGCCTCGCGGTTAGCACCTTGTCTAGGGATTTATTAAGAAACTAGCAGGCGCTTTGTAATTAGCACCGCGCGTAGGGGATAGTTATAGTTAGGGAAGTTGTTATCCTTTATAAGATTCGTAAATCTTCGCCTTTATAGTATAAAGAGGTTAGAGGACTGTCGATTCGGTAGGTCTCTTCTTCTAGTAATTAAAAACGCGTGATAGAACGCTCTTGCTAGCGATAATTAGCTGCGATTAACCTTATCCCGCCTAAGGTAAGCATAGCAGTCCCTAGGTTACTCGAATAATCAGATTGCTAGTAGATTCGAGGAAAAGAAGCTTTCTTCTACTAGTTTCCGTAGATCCTAGTTACTCTTACTTCTTCTCTCGTTAGTACGAAATCCCTACTTTTACCTAGGCTTAGGTATCTAGTTTAAGAAGTCGTCTCTTCTAGTATTAACCTTGCTAATCTACGGTTTATCCGTAGCAGAGTAGTAATTATAAAGTTAACTAAATTAATAGCAACTATGAGGTTTACTACTAATCAGTATAGGTTTTATAGGGGGTGAAACGGAATTCCGTTTGTTAATAACAAATAATAGTAAATTGGTTCTAATCGATGGTTTATGATAGTTGAAAGTAGTGTTGTTGACTAGAAGGTGGGGATATTCCCCCTTGGCCTGTCACGTGGGTCTGGGAGGCTTGGGCCTCTCAGCCTGGCGGGCGTGTGGCTGGAAGTGCCACACGACTCCGTATTCCAACTATCGCAACACCTAATTAGAACAGACCTCAGAGTCCATGGCCACAGAGAAAGAGAATAATATTGCTACGGCAATCGGGGGTAAGACTTAGGTAGCGCCGTAACCAACCCACAAGGACGATCGATATCCAATGATTGGATTAAAAACAGTGCGCAATATAAATCAAAGTCATACATTCCTAACGATCGTCTCAGGGTATAAACATTACGTCTAAGAATCCCAATCCACCAACACATTATTACCTCCCCAGATTCAAAAAAAAAAAAAAAGAGCAAACATTAGAAAACAACCGCGCGTGCGCCTCGCAGACATGACTCTCTCATAATCTCATCTCCATCCAATCTTCTCCGTAGTCGTACAGTTGTTGAAAGTACCTTAAGCGTAGTAAAAGAGATATCGCAGTCTACACGACATTAATCTCTCAAAGCATTGTTGCAAAAAAATTTAGACGCGGTTGGCGTTTCCGTTGGAATGGCCATTGGCATATCCCGTACCATTCTGAGCACCATTGTGCGCAGCGTTGTACGCACCATCGGGACCAAGGTGTCCATGGTGTCCGCCGTGCTCACTAGTAGGATTGTGAAGCTTGCTCGCGCCAGGCTCACGAATGTGCAGACCGATCGCGGAGGGGTCAATGTTTCGGTGGCCCCAGAGAAGCAAGAAACCAAACACAGGCTTGGCAAAGATGTCGAGGATGCCGTAGAAGATGGCTTCAGAGTCAGGGTGAATAACGTTGCCGCCCTCGCACAGGCCCCAGGCAATGGGGTACAGGAACCAGAGGAAGATGGTGAGGACGCCGCAGTTGATGTAGGTGCGCTTGATGGATCCGCCCAGGGCAGAGGCGTGGCGGCGGCCGTCAATGACGAGCGCGTAGGCGACGTACAAGAGGGCAAACATGCCGAATACCCAGTATCCCCACTTGTAGCGCGTGCTGGTGAGAGCGCCGACAAGGCCCGTGACGATCATGATCTCGTCCGCGAGAATAGCGATGAGGATGGACGGCCAGGGCAAGCCCGCCGTGAGGAGCAGGTCGAGGAGCAACAAGGGAGTCGTGACGAACCAGTCAATGTATCGGACGTAGAACATCTCGCGGGTTCCGGCGGCGGAGACGGCGCTGCTGTTCGGACGTGGGAATTCGACCTGGATCGGCGTCTGTCCAAGGCCGGCACCCATGGAGAAGTAGGCTATGCAGGCAACGAAGGTGATCAGGGACGTGATGTAGTGGAAGAGGCGGTGCGTTTCGCGCTTCGTGAAGGACATGCCGAGGAAGATGAGGGACGAGAAACCCATGATGGCGCAGACGGTGAAGTACCAGTCAGAACCGCGGCGGGTGATTGCCAGGTCAGCCTGCTGGCCGACCCCGGCGTTGGTGCTAAGGGCCTGATTGCCTGCCATGATGGCTGATCGAACAAGCCAGTAAGATTCAGCAATAAATGTCGTGTAAAATGGTGTCTTGGTGTAGATATATCGAGCTCGACTGGCGAGTTTGGTCTAGCTAGGTTTATTGATCGATGCTGTAAGATGAGATGGAATGAGACTCGAGGTAAGACGGTTCGACGCCAGCAATATATCCTCATCCGAAGTCATCTGGCTTGCTCGAGGCCCAGCAGATTACCAACCGCTGTCAATACTCCAGCATCATGTCTGTCCATATGATTTCATACACGTCGTAGAACCAATAGGTAACATCGGTAAGAACATGAGCTCCTGATGACGTTTAGACTCGACGGCAAACCGTGCTTGTAGATGTCGGGTGTGAACGACGCAGCAGCAGACGGAAGACGCTATCAAGAGGCAACAGCAATAGACCCACTAGTGAAAAAGCATATGCAAAGAAAGACACCATGCGAGCGCGCGCCCCAAGGCGCGGGAGCTACGGCAGTCGAAGCTTAGCATGTCATCTACCCTCTCTTCTCTTTTTCTGTCCCCGTTATAAACCCTTGTCGCGTAACCACGTTGCAAAACAAAGGGATCTGCTGCTCCACAATGGTCTTGCCTTACGCCCCATCAGTCCAAGAAAACTAGTGAGTCAAGCTCCAGATCGTGGTTCGTGATGGGTCTATGACGGTGTCCAAAAGTTCCAGACCGTCAATTTTGACGAATAGCAAAGAAAAGAAATATCAACCACGGGCGGGAAAGAGACGGAAATGTGGATTATCTGAGGATTACAGCTAGGTAATTGTTTGTAAACATTTGTGAACGAAGGTCGTTGCACCGTCAGGTGAAGCATGGACAAAAGATTTCATGTCGATGAAGTCACCATTTTGGTCCGGCTCTACGCCGGATGCTGCCGGACGTTATTTCCGCTCTACCGCGGAGCTAGCCCCGGCCAACGCACACCAACGCTCGTCACTTCACGCATCCAACGGCAATACGCCTGCTTCTCTCTGGGTAGATGAGAAGGGGGAGGAAAAAAAAAAGCTTTTTGGTGCTTCTTCAATTGCAAGCTTGGCCGATCGCCAAGCCACCCCCCGATCTGGCCTTACCTCAGTGGCAGTGATTGATTTGTCAAAGATGGCCACCTTTTTTGCATAGACAAATGATTATCAGTCAATTGAGGCTTCTATCCTTGAGGCATTCAATTGTACAATCTCTGGTTTCTATTAGTTATCGATTTGGAGACGTCAGTTCATAGGGATTATCCAATGGACTTGTCTCCACGTCCTTCTGACCTGGACCAACCCAGATCCGATGCGCCAGGTCAGACCACTCCCGGTAGGAGGCACATACTGACGAAAGACCCTGAGGGTATCCGGATCTCTAAAGTGCTCTTCAATTGATGTCGTCATCTAGCTCAGGTTGGCCACCAGTAGTTATCGACGCGGCTTCAGTACGTCTGATATCAGCTGCGAGTGATGTTTTTTCCCTTTTACGCAACAGTGAAATCATTTTGACTAGTTGTGAGTACAGCGACACCACAAAATATGAGTACGTACCATCAGCATGCTGGGCTGAGCTGCGTCTGTTGAAATGATTAACTAGACGTAATAGACGTTGGCCCTGCTGCATTCACCCTGTTCTGGCCCGTCTGTGTCCCTGATCGCCAAGCTTTTGAGAGCCTCATGTCTTGGACTGTACGTTGTGTAACCCAATATGCTGGAAGCGACTTTGACGATGGCCGATGAAGCTCCTATCGAGGATCGAACTCGTCATCCGTAAGCTGCTGTCTTCAATGTTTGACCCTGCCAAGTAAAAGCTCTCGCTAACACAGTGGTAGATACCTCTCAGGCAACTTTGCCCCGATTCAAACATGTCTTCCACTTACACCATGTTCTTATGATGGAACAATACCTCCGGATCTTGCTGGAGGGCAGTACGTTCGCAACGGCGGTAATCCTATCACCAACAATGACCCAGCTCGAGCTGCGCACTGGTTCGACGGCGACGGAATGCTAAGCGGCGTTCTTTTCCGCCGCACTGGCGAGAAAGGAACAGAGATAAAACCTGAGTTTGTGAACCAGTATCTCTTGACGGATGTTTACTGCTACGCCAAAGCGACCAAATTGCTGCAGCGACCGGTCTTACCAAGCATTGCCGCACTGGTAAACCCAGCCATCAGCGTGTTTCGCATCATCTTGGAGGTCTTTCGCACCATTTTTCTGGTTTTGCTATCAAGGCTCCCCGGAGCGGGGCGTCCGATTAAGAAGATCAGTGTCGCGAACACCAGTGTGTTGTTCCACAATGGCCGGGCGCTGGCGACATGCGAGAGCGGACCGCCATTGAGATTCCTGTTACCAAGCCTCGAGACGATCGGCTGGTTCAATGGACGATTCGCTGAGAACGAGCCCAGAAGGAGCAGCCAAAGTGGCTTTGGAGGCAACGGTTTCACTTCCTTTATGAAGGAATGGACGACAGCCCACCCACGCGTCGATCCAGTTACCAAGGAGCTTCTTACTTTCCATTCGACATTTATCAAACCCTTTGTGCGCTACTCTGTTGTACCACCGACAGCGGCAAAATCCACAAGCCACTGCGCGATATTCGATGCACCAGTTCCTGGAGTCGACTCGCCAAAGATGATGCATGACTTTGGCGTATCGAGAGAACATACCGTCATCATGGACCTACCCCTCTCATTCGACCCGATGAACCTGATTCGTGGCGTGCCCAGTTTGTCGTACGATTCGGCAGGCAAGTCAAGGTTTGGCGTCTTTCCCCGGCACCAGCCCTCTGCCATTCAATGGTTCGAAACCAATCCATGCACAATCTTCCACACCGCCAATTGCTGGGACACTTTATCAGCAGCACCAGAAGTTGGCAGTCCGCGTGTATCTGTCAATCTTGTCGCATGCCGGCTCACATCGGTATCCTTGGTTTTCAGTGCTGGAAACCTCCCTACTCCGGAGGTGAAGCCTGTCCCGCCTGAGTACGCCGAGGAGGAGCAATGCCGGCTGTACTACTATAACTTCCCTCTGTCGGACAGCACTGGGGTCCAGTGCAATATCAGACATCAGTGGGCTCTTTCAGCAATCTCACTCGAGTTTCCCACTGTCGCTCCGGCCTATTTAATGCAGGAAGCCAGATATGTGTATGGCTGCTCAACTGGGGAGAACTCGTATACAGTTGCCCTTGGCAAAGCAGCCAAGATCGACCACTTGGCCAAAGTCGATGTCAAGACACTTATAAGTCGAGGGATTGCTAACCCGCCACAGCCGATCAAAGGGTGTGTTGATTCACGAGGGGTCGCTCAGGTTCTGGACAGTCAAGATCCCAACGACCCTATCAAGCTCTTCAAGATGCCCCAGGGATGGTATGCTCAGGAGCCACGCTTCGTCCCTAGATCTCAGCCTGAAAGCGAGGACGATGGATGGTTGTTGACATATGTGTTTGATGAGTCACAACTTGACAGCTCTGGGGCATGTCGTGGAGATGCTGTGAGCGAGCTATGGGTGATTGATGCTAAGGAGATGAAGGAAATTGTGGCAAGGATCAAGCTGCCACAGCGTGTGCCGTACGGTCTACACGGTGTCTGGTTTAGTGAGGATGAAATCGAAGGCCAGATATCTTTTGAGAGAGTGAGGAAACTGCGTGATGGCACGGTTTAAGTAGGTGATTGTTGGACACCCAGCGCTCGAGGACGGGGGTAGTTTGTTGCTTTTGTGCCATTGGAATCCATGATACCACGGTGTTTGTAGGCAGGCGTATGAATTAGCTGGCAGGCCAAAACGTGACTAGTATAAATCCTTACTGTCATATCACTTTACCATTTTGTGAATAATCTGCTGATAAGAGAGCTGGACCATTTGTTAGTAGCATTCTTATTGTGAAGACAGGTTTCAGTACCCAATTCCTCGGGGATAAGTCATGACTCCAAAGCGGCCGAATGTAGTATTCGAGTCCTGCGGTAACTTTTCAAAAATGTAAAGTGCTCCTTGCTGCATGTTTTGTTGCACGTATTGCCCCAGTTTTCCCACGACTTTGTCTGGGGACGCTGGAACTTGGCCGAGACACAAGCTTGGGATAACAGTGCTTCGATCTGTCGATGAGAATTCATCTTGAAAGCAGAGTATCTGCGCCGAAGGCCGAGGTAAAAGAGCTCGGCGTTCCGAGTTCTACCCTAGCGGTTACCATCGTAGCTAGTCCATGCAGCGAGCTCCAGTGGTCGGAAAGACTGGTTTAGGTGATGGTACGAGCGCGATGGGACATAATGTGACGTGTACATGGGTATCGGAGCGTAGATTTAACCAGCGTCCAAATATTTGATGGCCAAGAACTAGCATTGTCGAAAGAATGGGTCTTGTTTGTCTTGGCCGGTGATAAATCTACACTCGGCCAACGCCCGCGCAATCGATTGTAGGTAACCTCAATAGCCAGTTGTCGATCCTGGTGAACCTATTGATGTCTGGTAACATTGACACGAAACGCTGCCCGATTTTGGCTAGTGGCCAAGGAAATAGTCCTAGGCCGTCTGAACATCTTTTAGGACGCAATTCCTCAGGCTGTTTGCTGATCTAAGAACGAACCCAACTTGGGTTGAAAAAACAACATGTGTGTGTTGGCCAAAGGTGTTCAGACGACGAACCGTCTCTTCTAGTCTGGGCTGGGAACAGGTTGAAGTGTGGCCGAGGCGATGGAACTATGGCTTTGCGCCTCACAGAGGTGGTTGAGGTATTTCCGTTTGGTACCGTCAGCACCAACGGGGCTTCTGCAGGCTTTCTTCCTCAGAACGGAACATGTCCGTTCAGGCCCTATAGGCTCGCTGGCTACATGTAGGCTGCTTTACTTGCCTTACCCACGGGGGGGCCCAAAGAGCTGAACAGGGCGCGACATAGTCGGCACGAGTGTCCTGAAACCAGTGCCGGCAATACTCAAGAGGGGTCCATTTTGAGAGGCTGGGCCATGCTTGCTCCCCCACTACGCAGCAGTGCTTGTGCCTGTGCTTTCGCTTGTGGCAGGCTTTCCAGGCCTGGTTTGGTGCTCCATGTTTTCTCTGCCCCAAAGCCCCGGAACCTGCCCCATCCCGCCTTTGGCTGCAAATCCCCCTCCTCAATCAGACGTTGAGGCTCACGACGACTAGCCGCCAATCTCAACGACGTCTGGTGTCGATGCTGTTTTCTTTGTCTTTCGCTACGACATCTTCCGACGATATCCCCTGGGTGTTGCAGCAAAATGGTGATGCCCAGACAATTGTTGAGCGCCGAGAAATAACCCCGCAGGGCAGTGCTGGGCGGCGGCGACTATCAGTGAAGGGATGGCGAGTTTTCGGCGTCCAGAATTCATCTTTTGACCTCCGAGACGGTGATGTGCGTGGAGACACCCGGTGTCCCGTACCAGCCCCGTTGAGCGCGGTCGCCTGGTTGGTGTAAAGTGGACTCCCATCCCCGCGTTTTTCATGAACGAGATCCATTTCCCCTCGTTATTTCCCCAGTCCCTCCGAGACTAGATGGGCCCATGGTTCATGTTGGTACGTTATTTTGACACTTCATTTCTGAGCTCTCGACATATTTCCCTCCTTGGCGGCTGGAGTCTTTAGGTAAAGGTTGGCGAAAGATTGGCATGAGGGGACCCCCACACTTGTCATCTCGCGGCAGACAGATCTAAGCTCCGGGATGGCCCCATCGGATTAGCGCCAAAGTCAAGGAGGATTAAGCTTAGCAAATGCCAAACGGGGCTGCTGCACGTGTGGATTGGCTCTCTTGATACGTGGCAGTATTTGCCGGGCGCTTGCTATTGGTGATGTGTTTTTCATTCTCCTTTGCCGACGTAACTTGGCTGTCGATGATTTTCTCGAATGGTGAGGTGAGTGGCTGGCCGGCTCGTCAGGTGAACTTCATAACATGTAAGAATAGTCAGCTCCATAAGTGGTGCTTGGAGAGCCGAGCAAAGTGGTCTAGGGCTCATCAGCTCGTGAAATGGGACAGTCGTTTTCGGTCGAGCATGCTTGTCGACTTCTGGCCTGATGTGTAAAAGTAGCTCCTTGGTTCGTCGACCACGACGACGGGGGTGTCCCTCTCTCATTTTGATATGTTGCTGCAGGGCAAGTCGACGCGAAATCATGGTGGACCTGGAGCTGCAAGCATCGCAGGACTGCCCTTGCTGACGCCGTTTAGGGCGTTCCGGATGTACAAAGCTACGTGCGAACGTGAGCATGGCATCGCCGTGACCAACAATTAGACCTCCGACTTTGTGTCCTCAGGCCATTCGTGCCTCCCGGCAGTTTCAGCATTTTCGTGAGCGACCAATGTCAGCGACGATGTAGCAAACGGAAAAGCAAAGATGGCAACGATGGCCGACGAAGCCCACACCCCAACCCTCTTGGCTCTTGGTCGTGCATGACGGGTCGACAAGAATATTCGATATCGAACAGTGGTCATGTGCCATGCTGCAGGACCGACGCGATGATACGCGACCTTTCCTGGTTGATGTTTCGTCTCCTGGCCAAGATTATTGTATATGACTGTACATGGGTCTTAAGGAAGCGATGTGAGGTTCGGGTTGCGGAGAGTATGCACGTTGCTGTGGATCAGGGCCGCACCAGAGATGCAGCAGAACAGGTACCCGCTTCATTATTAGGAGTTGATTAAATCAACGGAGCAAAAGACGAAAGAAACTTTGGATTAGATAGAGATGGGCCGAAAGCGAAAACGGAAGCCAGTTAGCCATCGATCGATATACCAGTGTACCTTCCTCGCAGCCGATGGTCCGTCAGGGAAGCCCCGTGGGCACCTACTGTTTCTGGCTGACGAGCGAGCGGGTGCGGGATTGCGCGATTGGCTGTGGAGTGAACCCAATATTCCTTCCAAAATGTAAAATGATAGCGATGGCTGGGCAGGGCCTTCCCTCGCTACGGCAAGTGCTCAATGTTTTTTTTATCCATTTAGGGTTGCTCAAACCATCATTAGGACGTGTTTGGCTTCTTGATTTCCGCTGAGAAGCACATATTGCATGTCCATTTCCACACTTTGACTCCGCAATAGTATGGTCAGCAGACAACCATTGACGACAGTGACATGGGCGGAATACTTCGACAATCCAGTGGAAGTGTAGATATGAAACGGGGATCAGGTAAGGCCATCGTCAGAAAATTGCAGAAATAGAAATCAAGGCATAAAAATTCTTGGTATGATGTAGGTGTCAATCTGCGTGGTGCACTATTATCACAGTACGTACTAGGGGGGGGGGGGGGGGGGGGGCCGGCGAAGGGAAGGCGAGGGGAAGTCGAACTTGGCACACACAGAGAGAGGACAGAGGTGGGAAATGGCATTTGCAGGGGCTGCTAGGTGGCCCGCCTTATCTGAATTGTGGATGAAGGAGAGTCATCTGATGTATCCTGAGTATGAACCCAATATACCAAGTGTACATGTGTCGGATAGAGAAGGGATACCCGCAGATAAGCGTTAGTATGTACATAGAAAGCCAAGGAAACACCAGGCACAAAAGCAGACACGCGTACCGACGCAAGTACACCCACTGAAGGAGCGCAGTAGGTATCCCGCCAGAGGTAACTGCATCCCAACCGCATCCCTCTCTCTCACTGCTTCCTTCTTTCTTCTGGAATGGAAAACAGATTGGTGGGGCTGGGTAACGCTAGCGCATTCTCGCCAAGAGCCGCCTTCCAGCCAGCCAACCAGGGAATTCCGTCTCACAGGCAATAATCTGGCCAATGATCAAAAGGGAAAGTGATCGCAAACAGTGCTAAAAAGGCAGTGAATACCTGCCCTATGGTACTGTACTTACTGTATCCGTGCCCTTACCTGTCTAGCAGTTTGGTGGACGCAGAGGGGAGTCCCATCAATAATAGTACGGATGGAATCATCAGCTTTGGGAACCACGTCCTGGAGTCTCTCTTCAGTCGAATGCACGGAGTACCGCAGCAGCAACAGAGGTAGTCAGCAGCCGCCTTTGGACGAAGCGTTCGCACAGCCACTCTTGTCGCTCCTATCAGCAGGCCAGTCTCGTCTTTACCCCAGCATCAACGCCTCAAGTGATTGGTCAGCTGGCTCCCTCCCACCCTGATGACGACGACCCGCCCGCTCTCGGCGGACATCGGTGCTCCTTGGCGGCGCCGCTGCATGCTCCACACCGGGCCAATTCCCAACTCTCAACCAGGCAAGAGAGGGAAGGGTAAAAGCAGTGAGTAGTTGTGCCCAGGTGGCCAACACAAAGACCTTTGGCCACTGGCTCGAAGCTATCTCTCTGTACTTCTAGAGGCTGTGATAGCGATGCGTCACACTGTTGCTCACCACCTGTCCTCCCTGACATGGCGGAGTAGTGGCTAGACTGCGCTGTTTCCACTGCTCCGCCGGACCACGAGACCGCTGGAGAAACAAACAGGGAAAGTAGGGCGCTGACGGCGACTGGATAGCGCCGCTCTTGGCAGTACCTCACCCTTTCCACAACACGTACCCAGTTGGGTATTAGTGCCTGTTTTCCCCAGCTTGTAGTTTTTGAATGGCCTGTGACATCTCTCCTACCAAAACGTCCATTAATTGCCCGCCACTATTCGGGCAGTGGCCACCCACTAACACCATTTGCGCTCTTTAGGTGCCGGGGCAGCTGCACCTGCCTGTGCTTGCTCTGCTTGTTGTCATTCACTACTGCCCGTTTGGACTGGAAGGCGCGTACGTTGTACTATGTAGGTAGGAAGGAAGAAGGGTCAGGTAAGTAAGTAGGTACATCCTTCCTTGGCCTAGTTTGCCGCTGTTCTCGGTATACTCAGGCACTCCCCCCTTCATCACTGGTTTACCTTTTCCCGCTTTGCCTTTCCTTTACCCCCCCTCCCCCCAAAATCAAATCTTCGTATCCTTTAAACAAGCGCATCAACAAAAGCTAGCTATTCGATCCCCCCTGTCAATCGCCAAGCTACCCACCATAAGTTCGTTCAGGCTTGTAGTGTCTAGACTTGCTGTTCCTATGTCACTCAAAAAGAAGACCAAAAAAAAGAGTAACCCCTCCCATGCAGGCCATCCAGTCCAAACCCCTGGCTCAATCGCTAACAATTGCGGTGCCAGGCCGGTACGGAACGGTACACCGTCGTCCAGACACACACCAGAGACAGTCGCCCGACAGACACGCTTCGGCCTTCACTTCTTCGGTCCTTCGTCCACCAGCCCCAGTCAGTCCCGTTCGGTCGGATCCATTTTCCCAATCCCGCACGCCATCGCCTGCTTCTCCAGTACCTGCCACACCCCCCGGTCCCAGACGAACGAGACCTAACGGATACATCCATATCCATTCTCAGCTACCTCCCATACATCCGCCATCTACCACTTGTTGCTCCCAAACCTGGTCGTCCTCCCCTCCCTTGGCAAAAGTCGACTTGCCCAGGCCAAAAGTATAACTTGACGCCTCCTCCGGCCACATTCCGTCTGTCCTTCTCCTTTCTTTCCTTATCACCACCACGATCACCCAAGCTCTAAGCTTGCCATTCTCTCCCCCAACCCTACACAACCAAAAGAAAAAGCATTGTCTGCTGGGCTTTCACAAAAGCACCAACACCCTCCAACCCGTGCGACCTTTTTTAGCTGTACCTACCGATATCCGATGGGAGAACCCGAAGCCACCAGGCATGGTGAACAACACACAGCTGCTGCGGAAGTCAACCCCGAGCAGGACGAGCCCCCGTCTATACCTCGGCCCCCGCCCATTCCTAACCCCGTCCCCCAACGACCAGCACACTCAGTTCCTGTCACGGACTTAGGTCTTCTCTGGCAAACCGATCTTGAGAATGGTCTCTCCAAAGCCGAGGCGCAAGCCCGCCTCGATCGCGATGGACCCAACCGTATTGAGGGTGCAAAGGGCCTATCAGTTTGGGAGATTGTCATGAGACAAATCTCCAACAGTCTGACGCTCGTTCTCGTGATCGTCATGATCTTGTCCTTTGCTATCCAAGATTACATCGAAGGAGGTGTCATCACCGCTGTTATCCTTCTTAACATCGTCGTGGGGTGAGTTCTTGCCCCTTGTTTTTGTTTCTCTGCCTTAGAATAGCCTGTTCCTTTCTTTCTCCGCCTCGCTCGGAGGGATTCTTTTGCTGCGTCCTCGTGCCTATTTCACTTGCCTGTTTCGTTAAGAAGCTGCGTTGTGTGGTTGGTCAGACCAAATGCCACTTGCGCCCCCGTGGGTTGGGTGATACGCGACTCGTTGTACCCATCCTATGTTAGTCTCCGGCTGCAAGGGTGCAAGCGGTGTGGCGTGTCCCCGACCCCTGTCATGTCATCCGACCGTCCAAATCAGCATCTCTCACACCTTGTTTTCACCGAGTTACATGCACATGGCTAACGTTTTCATAGCTTCATCCAGGACTACAATGCCGAACAGACGATTCAGTCTCTGTACGCGCTGTCCGCCCCGACGTGCAAGGTCGTCCGCGACGGTATCGCGGAGACCGTCAAGGCAGATTCCCTCGTCAAGGGCGATCTCGTTATGATCGCTGTTGGCGATGTGGTCCCGGCTGATCTCCGTCTCATTGAGGGAATTAACCTCTCAATCGATGAGGCCCTTCTGACCGGCGAGTCGCTTCCAATCAGCAAGCACCCCGAAGCCATCTTCGAGGAGGAGGATATCCCCCTCGGCGACCGCATCAACATGGTCTACTCGGCCACTACCGTCACTAGAGGACGCGCCCGTGGTGTTGTCACCACCACCGGTATGGAGACCGAGGTGGGCAAGATCGCGCTCATGCTTCGCACTACCCGCAAGCGGGATGAGAACGCCTCTCTTACCACCCGTGCTCTCATGCGCGTCAAGGCTGCCTTCAAGAGCATCCTGGGTCTCGAGGGCACTCCCCTGCAGGTCAAGCTTAGCAAGTTTGCTCTACTCCTATTCGGCTTGGCTATACTCCTTGCCATTATCGTCTTCTCCGTCAGCAAGTTCGACATCGATGACCAGGTTCTCATTTACGGTATCTGTGTCGGTGTTGCTGTTATTCCCGAGTCTCTCATTGCCGTCCTGACCATCACCATGGCTGTTGGAACCAAGGCAATGGCATCCGGAAACGTCATTGTCCGCAAACTGTCCTCCCTCGAAGCCGTTGGAGGTGTCACGAACATTTGCTCCGACAAGACCGGTACCCTGACCCAGGGTCGCATGATTACCAGAAAGGTCTGGTTGGCTGAAGATACTACTGCCATCATTGAGGGCACCACCGACCCTTATGACCCTACTAGTGGTAAGGTGCGCTGGCCTGGATCCGCCGCCTCGAGCTCGAACTCTAGCGGAGCGTCGACTCCAACGGTCGAGAAGAGCGACGACACTATCAGGAGCTCTTCCATGGACTCCTTCCTCAAAGCCATTGCTCTCTGTAACAACGCAGCCGTCACCGACGGAAAGACTGCTACTGACACCGAGTCTATGACTACTGCTACCGAAGTCCCTGTCGCTTGGAACGCCATTGGCGAGCCTACCGAGATTGCCCTCCAAGTCTTCGCCATGCGCTACGGAAAAGGAAAGAACGACATCGTCTCGTCTGAAAAGACCAAGATGTTGTACGAATTCCCCTTTGACTCCTCCTGCAAACTCATGAGTGTTGTTTACGAGTTCCCTTCTGCTTCTCGCCAAGTCTTCACCAAGGGTGCCGTTGAGGTTATGTTGCAACGCCTGGCTGAGCCTGAAGAATTCAAGGCTAAGATTGCTGCTAAGGCAGACGAGCTTGCTTCCGAGGGCCTCAGAGTCCTCTGCGTGGCTAACAGAGTCCTGGAAGACACTGATAATGCCAGCGAGAGAAACGAGGCCGAGTGCAAGCTTCGCTTCCTCGGTCTCGCCGGTTTATATGACCCTCCCCGTGTTGAGACGCTTGGCGCTGTGAAGCTGTGCAAGACTGCCGGTATCTCAGTTCACATGGTCACTGGAGATCACATTAAGACCGCCACTGCTATCGCCCAGGAGGTCGGTATCTTGACTGGCGGCGAGAGCCCCACTGCCGTCATGGCAGCTGGCCAGTTCGACGCCATGAGCAATGATGAGATTGACGCCCTTGACGCCCTTCCTCTGGTAGTCGCCCGGTGCAGCCCTATGACCAAGGTCAGAATGCTCGAGGCTATGCATCGTCGCAAGGCCTACTGTATCATGACTGGTGATGGTGTCAATGACTCGCCCGCCCTCAAACAAGCTGACGTCGGTATTGCCATGGGCAAGAGAGGTAGTGACGTCTCCAAGGAGGCGGCGGACATGGTCCTCACTGACGACAACTTTGCATCCATTGTTACTGCTATCAAGGAAGGTCGCCGTTTGTTTGACAACATTCAGAAGGTAAGTCCACTTAAATGAACCAATTTTTTGGAGGGTGCTAACTGTCTACTCTCTCAGTTCCTGCTCCATCTCTTGATTTCCAACATTGCCCAGGTCATCCTTTTGCTTATCGGTCTCTCCTTCAAGGACCGAAGCGGCACCTCCATCTTCCCCCTGTCTCCCTTGGAGATTCTGTGGGTCAACCTTATCACCTCTTCGTTCCTGGCCATCGGTTTGGGTCTTGAGGAGGCGCAACCCGACATCCTCCTGCGTGCACCCCACGATCTTGGCGTTGGAGTCTTCACTTTTGACCTGATCCGCGATAAGATGATTTACGGTTTCTTCATGGGTTCGCTCTGTCTCGCTGCTTTCACGTCCGTCGCCTATGGCCCTGGTGCCGGAGACCTAGGTAGCATGTGCAACGACGGCTACAACTCTACCTGTGGCGTTGTTTTCAGAGCCCGCTCAACCGTTTATGCTACTTTGAGCTTCCTTCTCTTGGTCACTTCTTGGGAAGTCAAGCATTTCCAGCGCAGTCTCTTCAACATGAACCCCGAACTGTGGACCGGCCCTTTCGCCGTGTTCAAGACGATTTACAAGAACCGCTTCCTCTTCTGGGCCGTCGCCGGAGGCTTTGTCATGACCTTCCCGGTCATTTATCTCCCTGTCGTCAACCGCGCCGTTTTCAAGCACGACATGATTACCTGGGAGTGGGGCATCGTTGTCGCCTGCTTGGTGGTTTACATCGCTCTTATTGAGTGTTGGAAGGCTGTCAAGCGCTACCTCGGTCTTGGTATGAACGCTCGCATTGTTGGTGACAGTGTTTAAATCCGGCACATAGATTGTCAAAATGGGTCTTGCTGCGAAGCAACTGCCTCAGTGCGGATTCTCTGAGGCGAAAGGTTCAGGGGGTTTGGTCTAAAAAATGGCGCCTTGATATCAATTTGGCTTGGACCGGATACAACACCGGCAATGGAAATCAGGTGGATTGGGGCTATTCAACATCAGCCTGACGGGCTTTCGGGCATCGGTGGTCTTCTCATTCATTTTTCACATTCATTTAACAGAATTACCTATTATTAGGCTTAGGCTGTAGAGATTATACTCCAGCCATATGGTATCAATAAACAGCTGGCTTGTCCAGCTTTCACAATTCTTTTTATCTATGACATTCATGTGATGCCGATCAATTGTTGAACTATGACCAAGCAAGCTTAAAGACCTACTTGCCTTTACCCTGAATTCAAGACGTCGGAATTCAGGCCTCGTCTATTTGCTGCTCTCAATGACACCAGTACCTTCTTTCTCCTCCCTCCGCTCTCTCTCAACCTTCTTCTTGTACTCCACCCAATCATCACTCCTAGGGAACGGAATTTCCGGTATCTCTTTAATTCCCAGGAACTCACAGACAGGACCCCATCCGTCTCCTGGGCGATACTCCAAAAACCTCCTCCCACCAGTTGCCAAGGCCCTCACCTGAGCATGATGTCTCTCGAAACATTCCTTTCCGTTTTTCTCAAAATCATCGTCCCAGCACGCGGAGTGATACGCATTCGCCAACCCCGCCATCGGCGACTTCGCCGCGGGGTCCCGGTGCAGATGCATATGGATGAGGGTATCCCTCATCGACGCATTCCACGATTCGAAAGACCGGGTGGAGAGAATGATGGGGCAGTCTGGATATGCTTCCGCAAGAGACGCCGGGAACAGCGCGGGCGGGAAGTCGGAGACCGCTTCGTAGGAGCCCAGGAGCTCGTCCCATTGTTCCCTTGTCCAAGGGTTTGACGGGGGTTGGGTTGGCGAAGAGAAGGGCGGGAGGTTATCTGCGATTGCGCGGATCCAGAGGTCTTGATGTGAGGATTTGGCGACTTCGCGCATGTGGTAGACGGGTGTTATGCCGAGGTATATGAGGGCGTCGGCGAGGGCTATGTATGGAAGGGTCAGTCTGGTGGTGGTTTGGTGGGAGATGCGTTTGGAGGGGGGGAGGGGGGTTTACATTGGGTGCCTGTTCTGGGCAGGCCGAGGATTAGGACTTTCATTTTGAGAGGGATTGATGTGATGTGGGTGCTGTGAAAGGTGGATGTGTGAGTGTTATCGGTTGTTATGGTTTACTGCGTGAAACCAGTATTTTAAAAAGTCTCGATATTGAGTTGGACTGATCAGATGAATTTCGAGATTACGAAGCTTATGCTGGGATGTCATCGGCTTGGCCCGAATTGTTCCGTCGTTCAAAGTCACGCGGCTTGCCGGGATAGGAAGTTGGCGCGGGAAGGGCCCGGGTCGGGAACGTTGGAAGGATCCGGAGCTGACGTTTACCTCCACCGAACGGGATTGCGCCGGGGTGACTGACTCATTTGGTAATTATTCCAGGTTGGGGAAGGGGATCAGAGATTGATATTTTGCTGCTCTGTCCGTTTTCTTCCATGACCATGTATTCTTGCATTTTGTCTTACGTCGCCCATGATTTTTGGGTTCCGCGGGGTGAGATTGATTGGATTTGCTGTTTTTTCTTTTCTTCTTTCGTCGCTGATGGAGCCTGGTTTGGTATTGGGCGTCGCGTGGTGATTTGGTTGTTAATGCATGCCTGTTTGAACCATTTATCCGTCTTGACTGTTTGGTTCGCTCGTTGGTGCCATGTTATCACGATCTACTATTTTCACAGGGGAAATGAAAACTAACTATGGCCGAAGAAGTGTCTGGGGGAGCTTTTGAGGGTATGGCCTTCCCCTCGATCAAGACTAACTTGCCTCACCTTCCTGGCTCTGTAGAGGAGATTTATGTCTCAAGAATGACCGAAGGTGTAATTGAGTGCGATTGATCCACCAAAGGAGAGAAGGAGCGAAGAGGCAGGTGCCTTCTTTTTGCGTTCGTTCGAACCAAACACGCAACTTGTACCTTCATCAAGTGTGAGATCCCTCACATCTACTTTTTCATCATCTGATGGCTCTTAATAGATTCTCTTCTTCGAAAGCATTGGTCTGAAACACTTGCACAACATCGCCGCTCTCATATGACCAACTGTCTTTAAGATGCCTTTTAAACGAGTTTCTGGTAAACGCACCCGCCTAAACAAGGTTAGGCGTTATCGATCCCAGCGCAACTACCGTCAAGTCTGTATGTTTTGACGATACCCACTAATCTGCAATTTTAAAGCTCACTCAATATAGCTCGCACCCTCGAGAAGCTCGATGCAGCATTCAAGCCTATCATCCGGAAGGGCTCGTTCCTTCGCTGCTTGGGGGGTAGATTTGCCTATGCCTTGAGGTCCGCAGGCCTCGCATTACAATCTTCTGCCGTGGAAGCCCTCAAAGAAAGCTCTGTAGCTTTTGTCGTTGACTATCTAAGGAGTATGCGTTTTCTTCTCTCCAGATTCTTGCTTAAGTTGCTAATGATTTCGCAGTGGCGAACATGTGCGCGGCCCACGCACGCCGCGACTATGTCTCAAAGCGGGACTTGGACTTGGTAAAGTTAGTTGCACCCCATGGTCCAGTCCTAGGGAAAGTCCTGTCTTGAGTTGCTCTCAAAAGTAGGTTTGAAATGCTTTTTAATACTGGCACTTGTGTACTGAATTCTCCCCAGGTCTGCGCAACATCGGATATCTTTTGAGGAGGCTTTCCTGACAAGTTGGTTGTCGCCGACGGAACAGTGGCATATTACGCGGCCGTGGCTCGGCAAGGAAATTATTGCTGGAGAATCCAAATAGTGATTTTTCTACCAGAAATTGATTGAAAGCTGGGAACACGAATATGAAGGTGGCTATCTACCTGCTGCAGAAGGCTGGTGGCCAACCGCCTTAAGGCTTCATTTTAATTTTCATTTTGTTGTTGGTTGCTTCCCCAATCTTACATACCATGCACGAGGGTTTAGGCCTCCAAGGACAACATGATACTTCTGAATTATAATATTAAGCAGACGTGCTATTTACCTCATCGGCCTTCCATATCCGAAGAGTTGGAGCAACGAGTCCACCAAGACTACGTCACCTGATGCCGGGTAGATACCTACTCCAATATTGTAGAGGTCTTCTTTGAATTGGTTCTTTGTAGGTTTCTAGTGCATATAGAGGTACCTTCTTCATATGTGCGCATTCTACTCTGTTATGCTTGTCTCCCGCATGCATTTCGAGAAAAGGAGACAGCAGGAGGAAGAGGAATTCTCTATCTGACATTTCGAAGTCCAAACTAGAAACTAGCCTCAAAGCGGTCGAACAAAAAACACCATACCAGGTATTGAACAAGCTAGATGGACGCTGATAGATCTTTGGCTGCAATAACCCCTGACTCATATATCCACGACAGGCAATCACATTGCACTATTGCCCGTATTCAATACGATATTTTCAGCGAATGAAATCTACCGTTTCCCTTCCCAAGTCAGGTGTGCAGTGGTTTTCGCGATTAAGTCATTCCGAACTGAAGTATGATAGCTCAGATAGTTAATAGCGTAATCTCGCTGATTTATAGAATCTTTGACTGCTTGCGTTTCTTCAGCATAATCACCTCGTATGTGCATGTTCGCCTACTTCATCAACGGTAAGCCTCCGGAATTGCTGAAATTATAACGCAAAACATGAATTTAAGACAACATTCACCGAAAAATCTCATGTTCAGCGTATATTTCCGTCGTTTACGTTGTATTGTAGCGCATATCACAAACATGAACATACATGATGTCTGCCTTAACACGAGTGAGAACAGGTTGGTAGGGCAAGGTTTCGAATAATCATGTTTAGTGAAGAGGGCACTTTCCATAAATGGAATACGCGGGGAAGCTTGCCCAGCATATCTCACCCTGGAGATAGGTATAAGGCGTCGTCACCACCGCGTACGCCCCTGAATAGCGCATAAGGGTGGAAATTCCTCCTAAAGAACATGATTACAGCTCGGCAGGCCAACCAGTTCCGAGCCAAGCTGTTGGTTCCATGCATGCCACGCAGTCAAGATCTAAGCCTCCATCTTTGTGGGTGTCTTTGTGGGTGGGTTTGATGCGCATCGCGCTTAAACATAGCCTATAAAAAATTCCCCGAAGGCTATGTGTGGCTGCATGGTGGGGGCTTGCTTGGTGCTGCCTTTGGGCGAGACGCAGGGACCAGTTTCTATACGCGTAAAGCTGGTTCTCTATACGTGTATGTACACAGCAACGAACTAGCACTGGCTTGAATGCGTGTAAACATCAAATTGTTGGTCTTGGCGGTTGTGATAAAATATCAAGCAACCCACGTCCTTTTGAATTCACTTCTAACACCTATATCGACGCTTATCCTCCCTTAATCGCCAACTTCCTTCGCCGACTTTATCCTCCGCTACTAGCAAGACCCGCCACAAGGACACTACGCCACAGTTCATTACTCCGAACACTAAAGAACACCGCCATCATGGGTATCCGAGATTTCTTCGACAAACCATTCTTCGACCCTCGGTACAAGACCAAGGTCCATATTCTGCAACTCGCCATTATGCTAGTTGCTATTATACTCACCATCGCACGCATGGCTATGCCGGTCATTACCACACGAGCAAACATGATGGCCCTCACTATGGTTCGTCAGATCGTCCAAATTCATGTTCATACCCACATGAATAAATTTACTTTACTATTGATACTGACTGTTACTTAACAGGGCATCAAGTCTCTCATAATCATTGGCTACCAGCTTCTCACCACCCACAAGGAGCGGTTCAAGAAATGGGCTTCCCTAAAGGCCAATGCCATCCTCAATACCCTAGAGATTCTTTTCTGGTTCGTCGCCTTGGGCCTGTTGTTCCAGGCAAATACACGTTTCTGCACGGGCCCCAGTTGCGCATTGAGCTGGATTGTTACCCTTCTCTGCGCCGTTCTGATGTAAGCTTATACCCTTTCTGCCCACTGATTTTGGTCGTGTGATCCTATCAATATTTGATTCTGATTGTGTTTTTTTTTTCCTCCGCGCAGTGTTCTCGCATTTCAGACATCTGTCGTCTCCATCAAGGAACACCGTCACTTCAAGAACTACGGCGTTACTTATGAATCGAATACAAATTACCCCAAGGTGTAAATGGTACAGGCGAGAAAGATCATGGAAGGGGCACAAAACAGTTGATGAGGTTATATGATGTGAGTATGTCTGCTCAGAGGGGTATGGATCTCGCAATGCCCGAGCCGTTGTAGGGATTGAATAGGGAAAGGGCTTACTTCGACAATTAGGCGTTGGGGAGTTTTTTCGGAGGTTCATTGCAATTAGAGAATCCCAGCTTTAAGGATTCAATAGACGATCTTCAGTCTTATTGTTACGTCTGTCAAGACCGATACTGGTCCTCGGCGCCTTGCGCTATAAACAGGCAAGTATGTCGTGTATCCCCAGGATATGTTCCTCCCTATAGTATAGGTACTCTGGCCATCCTTATCAGTGCTGGTATTAAAAGGGCTACAGCAGGTGTTTGTCGTGGCATATTGGCCAGGAGATGGAGCTGATGATTTGGCAAGTACGTCTCATTGGTCGGGTGTCCAACTGTAAGTCCGGCATGTTGGAGTTTCACGGCGAAATAAGAAAAGAAAACCACACGTTCTAACTTAATAGACGAAAACATTCTGTTGCTAGCAATAGCCGTGAAGCACCGTATGGAGAGCACGTATTAGGCAATCCTTGAATGGTCATCTCAACCCACCAGTTATAGAGCGACCTTGATTGGCTCAGTCAAACTTTAGAGATAGAGAGTTCCAAGCAGGAACTAGGGTTCTGTTTTTAATTGTTCTGCAAAGTTTGTGTCAAGGCTTAGCTACCACACTGCATCTCAGGGTCGGTCCAAGAGTGAACAGCAAGGTTTGGAGCGTAGGGTCCCAGGAAGCTTAAGAGCTACGACTCGAGACCCTTGAGATAAAGGATTGACTTTTTACACTGCATGGCCCTTTTGGCGAAGTCCGGTCGCCATTTGGGTTTCCGTATGTGTTTGATTTCGGAGTACTTGTTCGTGATGTGATTACAAACAGAGCTAGAATTGCCTGTTGATCCCGGTGCTGCCCCATTTAGAATGCAAACACCTCGGCTGAATGCCTTCTTTTTCGTTGGTCGTCTCATGGTGGCATTTGACCGGGATGGGCGAAAAACGTTTAATTAAGCAAAATAATCACCCTTTGATGAATGAACCCAGAAGTATTACATTGAATTGACGTTGGTTGTCAGGCAACTGTAAGCAAAAGAGCATATATGAACCGGGATTTATGTTTCTTGTAATGAGAATATCTTTTAAAATCCATTGCCCAACCGCCCTGTGAGGGTAATCGTGCTGCGTATCACCCCGTTATCGTTTAGTAAGGATCTCACCGCTCCATATCGTACCTATACGTATCGCACTTGACGTTCAAAGTGACGATGGCTAGAATAGTTTAGCTGCATGTTACCTAATATGAAGCAGCCTTAGTCCCTTAATTCGTTTCAGTCAGGAGCTTCCCTCTCATGAGATTGTAGAAACCCCTTCTCTTCCTGCCTCTTTAGATCGTCCATCTACAGGCCACCGTACTTCAAACCACACACACACTACCCTCACTATGGATACAACCGCCCTGTCCGTCGCTGGTAGTACCTATGGAGGGAATCTCGGGAATCTCTGGAATCTCTAACGAAACTTACGAAATAATTCCACTCGTATCAGCAGCCAGTAATCGACTGTTTTGGACGCTCAACGGTCCTCTTGAGAGCGCAATCCAAGTTGCGCCCAACCCGTATTATGAGCCAGGCGACGTCATGGAACCATACTTTCGTCCTGCCGCCGACGGTCTCGCGCCGGTCTGGCATCCTATATCGCAAGAGTCTCTCATGGGGCCCAAGATCGACACAATCACCGTCAGAATTCGCTGCATCGATTCGTGGGAAGAGCTTTGGGTTGAGCTTAACCGCGACTGTACCGACACAAAGAATGACCCCCGGCGGCCGCGAGCCAAGGATACCCAGCCCGAGGCGACGGCCGGCGGCGAGTTTCTCACAATCCACGAGTACGTCTCCGCCGTGCACCCGTGGCTCATGGGCATGCGCGAGGCCCAGAAAGAGGAGGCCTCGCGGAAAGTCATGGAGAGATATAAAGCGAGATCTGCGGAGCGAGTACGCGAGTTGGAAAGGTTCCGCCAACAGAATATTTGAAATGGGCCAATTTATCTCTTATATAAATTGGTACTTTTTCATTTATACTCTCCTTCTCTTGCCCTATGGTGGTCAAGACTGTGGAAGCTGATAAGGTTCTCTAGGCAAACAAGCACATTTGTAGCTCTTTTTACTGCGAGCATTCTGTTTCTCACCCACTGTCCGAATCTTGCTTCGGCCCTACACTGACAGGAGATTACTAGCTCCACACAACTGCATGCCGTCACCAATATGAGGCAGATTGCAGTTGGCGACAGGGGCTTGAACGCATGCTGCACTTAAGGAATCTCCGCAACAGCCTCTCTCTCAGCAGTAGGTACTTACAGGCACCGGACGGGCAATATACGTGACTGCAGGCAAACTCGCATAGGCCCGCATAATGCTCTAGGTTCTCAGTGATAGTGTATATCACCGTCTGCAGAAGGGGGCCCTGACAGACCCTATCCAACGTTTGGGGTTCAGCTTTGTAGTTATTTGGGCCGGTCAGAGGCAAGCTCACTTGCGCCGCCCGAACCTGCAGTTGCCTATTCTCGTTTCTCGTTTCTCATGCCTCGTTCGACCGGCGTAGGCGAGACGCACCCCTAGGCCCCGCGTGGACCCCATCGACAGGCACGTATGTATGGCCAAATGATCATGGCAGAGTTTTCCCCCTCTTTCTTGTTGGTTGCTTGGTGCCGTTTTGTATCGACGGTAACGTCCTTTAACGGAAACTCTGGGGTTCTGGATGAAGCCGCTACTGTTGGTAGTGGTGATGTGTAGCCGAGAGCCCGCCTTGACCGTCAATGAACGAGCCATCGGAGCGGCGAGGAAATGCAACGGGTCGACGGTCAAGAACGCCTTCGCCTACATTCCGTCCGGCATATACCTTATCTCTAGTACGGTGCCCCTCCCATTCAGCACGCAGGTCATTAGGGCGGGTGTCTGGGTTACCCAAAAACGGCATCCAAGACGGGAATACACACATTGAATCTGTACGGAAAACAGCACGTGAAACCCTCAATCACTAGGAACCCAAGCTGCATGACATCACCTAAGGAGTTTCCAAGTGTAGCAAACTTTGAACCCAAGCCATTATCGATCCTATCACAGTTTCTCCCAGGGGTTGACTCACAGCAAAAGTAGGTGGCCTAATTCATCAAGGGTGTGTTTTCAAAAAGGGTCCCCAAAACTCAATGAGTAAGCATATGGTGACGACTTCACGGCGCTCGGAACTCAGCCGAAGTCACTTCCGTGCAGGCCATTTGGCATCGGATGCTGATTTAGTCATTTTGAGAGCTCATGTTCAAACTCGAAAGGATTCATCCTGTGCTTGCCCGGTCATCGTCTAGTCTTCTTGAGGCGCAAGTGCTTTCTCAAAGTTACCCCATTTGTCCAGGGGTGAGCTACCGCGAACTCGACAAACGGGCACGACGAGCTCCGAGTGCAAAGGGTCCGACGAACATGAGACCATGAATTTGAGTAAGCTCTGGCACCTCTCAAATAAGAGTCAAATGGACTTAAGAGCTGCCAAATGGGATGTGACAAATAGGTGTCCGAGCCATATGGGTGCACCGTCGGCGGATGCACCACTCCCAGGCTCGTGAAGGGCCAAGAAGTGAATGATCCGAGGTAAAATTTTGTGCGCCACCTCCAAGTAATCAATGTCTGACAGGAAGTGAAGGATGTCACGTCTCACCAATCGGATTTTCAGCCAGGGCTGGCCACCAGCTGGCCCTTCCTGCTTTCCCCTCAAGCTGTCCACCTTCGACCTGACACCTTTCGAACGACAAGAAGACTATCCGACGAACTCAGCCGCCAAATGGCCCTCTCCCGACCGACAATGACAGATCCTGTCGTTCATGCAGCCGTCGGGGCGAGCCCCTCTTTCTCGTCCTGAGCCACCTCCATCCCAGCATCAGAGTGGTGACAAGTTCTGTTAACCGCGCTCTGGCACGGGCCTCGAGTTTCGAGGGAGGCGACGTGACACTTGACAGACATTTGTCAACCATGCCATCGCCCATCGCACTCGCATAGAGGAGCCGAAGGGCTCGGGACATTATTACGGGAGCATACGCGGCTATCAACCTACTTAGGCGAGAACTGCAGCCACTGTCAAATCGCAGCAAGTAACTCTTCGTTGTGCCTTCAACATCGAAGCGCGCACGTACAATGACATTGACTGCCGCACTAGCGGCTTCTTCTGGGCCTTTTAAGCGTGCTACTGTGAGAGCTTTGTTCGATACTGCAACTTAATTGACCGGTAGGGGTAGCAAACTTATGGGCGGGCGGAACACCCACAGCACGCCCGGTGTTAGCGTTCCCGCACCAGCTGCTGGGGTTCCTGCAGGAGTAAACCCAAGGGGATCCGCGCCACGAACCAGCCTACTAGAACAAAGAACGTCTAGCAAAAGCTTGTCAAACTTTCTGGTGGCGAAAATGTCGTTGGTGGCGCCCTAGTGGGCATCGAGACAAACTGGCAGGTATGTCACTGACGCACCGGAACAAGATCCTACCTGGCCCCCGGCTGCTGGCGTTCCCAGCCAACCTTAATTTGTCTGAGGAACACCTGCTACGAACCTCTAACAAGTTAATAATCAATTGAATAAGGAATTGAGTGCCATCTGAAGAAGAACGCTGTGGAGGCAGCTTCGGTTACTGGCATCGCAATGAGGGTGTGCCATTCTGCGCTCATACGTTGAAGGGAACACACACCCAAAAGATGCGGGTCCGAAAATAGCATCGAAACCCTTTCAGGAAATAGAGACAGCAGGCAGGTCTACGTACTACGTGAAAGGAAAGGAGGGAAACACTATTTGGATTCCCCACGTCGAGGAATGGATGTTTGTGTGATGGGGGGTCCGTGGCCTGGCGTTTTGTTTCGTCTGAATTCCCTTGAACAGTGATCTCCCAGTTGATGGCCGAACCACGCCGCACGATTCACGTTTCAAGGGTAGCTGTTCTCGGGCGTGGGATAGCCAAACTTGAATTTCGATTCTCATATTTGTCGAACCGCGATAGAATGAGGCGAATTTCATTACAATTTCTGCTTTGCGACTGTGAGAGGTTGGGCAGTTTTGCGCGCCAGCTGCATATTCTGCACCTCGGTGTGACAAATCGTACGGCTCTCATCGTATCCCGGACGTGGTGTAGGCAGACACTTCGGACGAGGAGAATGCATCAAGCAATCCGCGGGAGAAGGAGGCTTCCAGCAATTCACAGTATCTTGGGATTCGTGTATATTAAGATGAGGAAGTCTCCCGTCTCTGTCAATTTTCTTCCATCTCATCAGCATCAACAGCTTCTCATCTACTCATCTTCTCAGCATCTTCTTCTACACATCAAAACACCAGCTTCAAATCTCAAGCCTTTCGCTCAAAAGCAACACCAACAGTCAAAATGCACTTCACCAACGTCTTCGTCCAGGCTCTCATTGCCGGCTCTGCCATCGCAGCTCCTACTTCCCTCGTCAGCAAGCGTCAACTTCAGACCATCCAGGGCGCCCTTACCAACGTCCAGGACTCTCTTACCAGCCTCGACACCGCTGTCAAGGTCAGATTCATCATCGGATAATCCACTTGAAAACATTTACTTACTGTTTTACCAACAGGCTCTCTCCGCCGCTGACCCCAACTCTGCCGCCAACCTCCTGGATGCCTCCAACAAGGTTCAGACCAGCCTGAAGCAGGGAACTACTCAGATCCAGGGTGCTCAGGAGCTGTCCTTGACCGACGCCCTCACCCTCCAGCAGTCCGCCGGCGGCCTCACCACCGCTGTCCAGACTGTCGTTACCGACCTGACCAACAAGAAGCCCGAGCTTGACAAGCTCGGCGCCACCTCCATCGCCGTTGACCAGCTCAAGTCTCAGAAGGCCGTGGCCACTGACTTCAGCACCGCCGTCGTCTCCAAGGTCCCCGCCATTGGTCAGGGCATCGCCCAGCAGTCCGTCGACCAGGTAACCCAGTCTCTTGACCAGGGTATTCAGGCTCTCTCTGCTCCCGCCGCCGGTGGTGCTGCTGGCGGTGCTGCTCCTGGTGCTCCCGCCGCTCCTGCCGCGCCTGCTGCCGAACCTGCCGCACCCGCCGCCCCCGCCGTCTTCCAGACTGAGGTGATGACCAACTGAGTCATTGATTCAGGTGGTGTTGATGGTGCGGATACGAACAATTTCATGATCAGCGGGTTGGCCATTGGGCGAAGGCGTCACATGTTAGCGATTTTTTTAGTGTCTTGATAGGTATTGGATGGCAAGTCAGCTGAGCTGCCGGAGCAGCTGTGCTGCATAGCCTCTTGAATTATTAAAAGAAGCATATGAATTTAAAAACTTTTTTAAGCTATTTGGATGTGATACTTTTACTGCTGAAGCGTGACTCAAGGAATCAATCTCGTTGTCATGACTCTTGAAATGTCGTTCTAAGTCCCCATAAGTCCTCTTGACACGTCTACATCTTCACACTCTTCTATAGGTTTAGGCCATGAGCATGTTACCTTTATATTCGTCGATAGGTTTATATGAACACAATCTTTTTCAGTTATTCTCAACTGCAAAGCATAAGACACTTTGCACAACATTGTGTCACCTTTAAACACAAAGCCCTTCAGTCGGACAATTTTGGCATGAAACACATTGTTGAGTGCCAGAATGGTATGATTGAGTGACTCACCATGTATTCTGGATAGCTTTGTGAGTCTAACTACCATGTGCGTGGCCAGTCTGCTGCCGCACCTATGGTCAAAGGCAACCTCTAGATACGATATGTTGTAGTACCACTGTGTGAAAGAAGTGGTGAAAGATCTGGAGGGATAGATATCATGGAATTTGTTCGTTCTTTGGGAGAAGTACCGATATGCAATTGACTGTCGATTGTCCGCCCTCCGAAAGAAATTTCCTAAGGAAGCCAAATATAGCCTCTTCAGGTGGAAGGCAAAGGTATTTGTGAGTATTGATGTTGATATCTTCCTAAACCAGATGTACGGAGTTCTCGGATCCATTCATGTTCAAAGGACGGCCCCAAATGAGGGGTCTTTTCTATACTGTCGGATGAACACCCGATTATGGGGAAAGTTCACGTTCCCTGACCTGGACCGTGAAGCAAAGACCGGAGTATCCAATTGGGCCCTGCATAATTAAAGGGCATAACTTTCCGACATCAGCCAATGAAGGTATCCTCAAGACCCACTCCTCTCATTGTATGACTAAGCGGGCTTTCGATCAATCCCAGGAGTACTTGGCCAGAGCTTATCTTATCGTCTGGCCTCGATCTGCTTCCATTCTAGTGATGCCCATCGCCTTGGCACATGAAGCTCAACCATACATCGAAATGCCTAGTCACATCACGCGACCACCAAGCATCATGCTTTCTTCATAGACGCCGCAGGAACACTTCATGGATCAGTCTTTCTGTTTAAGGCATCACCTCCGCAATATACCAATGGTCACATAATCGCCAGTAAAGGATTCATAGTCCGAACCAGTAAACAGTACAAACACTGAAAAACCGACAAGGGATTCTCACCAGGGGTCTATCTCCAATTTCGCCACGAGCTTCATTCTGACATCATCCCCGGCGGAGCCTCTGCTCCCAGACCCCACGTCCCACAATGATGCTCTAGACCCTTCTTAAGGGCTACCCTTTGAATCATTGCCCCGTGCCATCATTCGTGATCTGCCCGCTGGAAACTTTGGGAAAAGTCATGATCGTCTAACCCTCCCCATTCTCGTCTTGGCGTCGGAATGGCTCGCTACACCTTTTGCTACACAGTGACATACTATGCTTCTTTGTCCATTGACCTGCTAATAGAGGACCCATCGCCCCCCATCATGCGCAACGTTCTCCCCTCGTTTTCTCTAACCTTTATTCCAGCGAGACCTTGCCTCAAGTCCACATTCTGAGACCCAAGATTCTTTTTTGTCTTCTAGTTGTTAACTATGGAAGAGAAACACGACTCCGGGACCGACGGGGTTGCTCCTCCGGGCCATCCGGACCGGCACACACCCCTAGATAGCCATCATGATGATTCACTCCGAGACCCTGCCATGCTAGGCCGTCACAGCCTGCAAATAAACCACGGTCGTCCTCCAGCGGCCTCCGCTCCGCATGTCACCGGCGGAGGAACCACACTGAGCGGAACCAACTCCGGCAGCGATACCAGTAAGCCGGACGTCGTCCTCGATGAGAAGAAATCGTACAGCCTCCCGGACAACCTCAATGAGACAAACACCAGAACCAAACCCCCACACCACGAACCGCATGCACCCACGACAGCACACCGAAAGACGCGGCAGAGCCATGACTTTGACCGCCGTTACGACGGGCCCTTTGCCCGACCCAGCCTGACAATGGCCCGGCCCTCGCAATCCTCCGCCCGCTCTCCCCGTCCCTCCGGCGTCTACCACCCAGGCGGGCTGCCAGACACATCCGCCATCCCGGAATCAGAACCCTCGGGACCGGTATTCCAGCCGACGCCGCCCCCGTTAAACTACACCCTCCGCACCCGCAAACTCGCCATCTTCCTCTTCTGGTTCCTCATCCTCTTCGACTCCATCGTCATGCCGATAGCACTCTACTTTGGCCTCTGGTACGGCGTCGGCCCGGGCACGAATACCCCGACCGAGAAGAAACAGAAACTCACGCCCAACGCCGTATTCTCCATCGTCACGGCCGCGGTGGGAGGAGCCAGCATCGTCGAGTATTTTCTCCGTTTCTGGCGGCTCTGGAGGAAGGGTAGCACGTGTCGTGTAATCGGGGCGCATAGGTGGTACCTAGACTGGTTCCATTGGAACTTTTCCTTTGCGTGGATCATCATCATGATTGAACTCATCGTGTAAGTCCCTGCCCCCCCCCCCCCAACCCCTTCACCCATTTGCCATCCTCCAACCTTCCAAACTTGGTAAAGTCTGACAAGAGATGGTCTTTATAGCGGCACCGTCCCGGAACACCCGCCAATTCGTCTGCTCTCGATGCCCGTGACAACAATGCTCTTCGTGTTCGGCACAGAGCTACTGGCGGTCGACATCCTCCGCGCCTTCCACGTCCCCGCGCCCTGCCGGATCTCTTCGATCCCCAAAGGCGCGCAGCTCCGCCCCGGCATCTACAGCCTGATAGAAGACATCTGCGCCGTCGACGGCTCCGGCGGCACCGAGTTCCGCGTGGCGCTGGACAGGCGGTACGAGGCGAGCCACACGTTCCGCGCGATGCTGCGTCGGCTCGGGATATTCTGGGCCGTCGGCGCCGAGGCGTGCGCCGTGTTGTGCACGGCGCTCATCTTCACCATGAGCGGTGACGTCGCGTATACGCTGGGCTGGTCGTTGCCGTTCGTGTGGGCTGGGTTCTGGACGTTGGCGACGTTTTGGTACGTGCATTGGCAGTTGAAAAAGGAGGCCAAGGACTGGGCTGAAGAGGTTGCGCGGAAAGCGCCTGCTGAGTCGGTGGCTTGAGAGAATCGAAGTAAATCATTGTAAACATACAACGCTGGCTTCACCACAGAGAATAAAGAAATAAAAGCGCAATGCATCTTGGAGAATTGTCTTTTTGTCTCGTCGTCTATATCCCGGGCTGGCTCCCGTCCTCTCCTGAGAATTAAACCCCTTAAAAATAAAACTCCATGCCACGGCCATCCTTTAGAAGACTCCGTTACCAATGTACACATGCTGGGTTTCCTCGGGACCGTTTTTATGTTCCAATGCAGCCGCAGAATCCGTTATAATACACATGAAAACATCAAACTAGAACATGGTAATGATAATGTCACAAGAGACGAAGATTCGCTGGCCGCGCCTATCGTTTGCGCGTGTCTCTACCCTTCTTCTTGCTCTTCTTCTTATCCTTGGGCAGCTCCAATGCCGTCCCCTTGAGCAGCTCCGCCATCGTGCGCAGCATGTACTCGTCGATATTATAGATCCGGTCACCCCACGCATTTTGTTCGATTTCTTCGCTGGGCGCGACGGACTCAGAGAAGCGACCGAGACCTGACGGTCCTGGCCCGTTTGTCTGACCGGAGACCTCGTCTCGTGGCGTGCCCTGCCGAGTGCTGGAGGCCCCAGAGGGCGCTCCGCTCTTTTCTTGGAACTCGGCATCGTCATCTTGTATTTCCTTCTCGGCGGCTTTCGCGGCCTCCACGTCTTCCTTGTCTTCGGCCTGCTTGAGTTCCTCGCCCGCGTTTCTCGTACTGCCGCTTTCGACTCCTCCAAGGAGACGGTCCATAGCGGCGTTTGCTGCATCGTCCACCAGATCGTTCCCTTCGGCACCGAGAACGTCACGGACAGAGAGCTTGTTGAAGTAGTCTGTGGTGAAGCTTCCCTCCTGAATGACGACATCGTCCAGCATTTGTTTCTGTGATGCCTTGCGAAGAATGTTCGCCTCAATTGTGTGCTCGCTAACAAGTCGGTAAATGTGTACGTCCCGCGTCTGTCCGATACGGTGGCATCTGTCCTGGCACTGTTTGTCCATGGCAGGGTTCCAGTCCTGGTCGTAGAAGATGACAGTGTCTGCACCTGTAAGGTTGATTCCCAACCCACCTGAACGAGTCGATAAAATGAAGCACAGAATCCTGTCGTCATGGTTGAATCGGTCCGTCAAGATCTGCCTCTGCTCGATTTTAGTGGCACCGTCAAGTCGAAGATACTTGTGACCGTGAATATTGAGGAACTGCTCGAGAATGTCCAAAACTTTGGTCATCTGCGTGAAGATCAGGGCACGGTGACCGCCTGATTGAAGCTTGCGGAGGAGTCTGTCTAGCGCTTGAAGCTTTCCGCAATCGTACTGGAGCAGTCTCTTGTCGGGGAACTGGATGCTGAGACGCATTCGGGATTCGTGCCAGGGATCCATGGGCGCCTGCTTGGGAATGAATGGAGCCCATCGAACTGGTGCAGATAGCTTAAGGTCCTCGTCGGTAAACGCCTGTGCGGCTTTCCTGCCCAATATGACCTCGTTCATATCGCGAGTGATAACAGCGGGGGTGACACATGCAAACTTTTGGACCGTGGTCTGCATCGAATCGGCTCGCTCATCCGCGGTGTGGATTACCGCCCGGAGGAAATCCGAGTCCTCTGCGAACCAGTTCAGTATCTGTTGAGGAACCCTTGGTCGAGGCTTTCGAGGTCGGGTATCGAGTCCGAGTGTGAGGAAGTCAATCAGGCGCTTGCCATAGATCGGCCGACGCTGTCCTCGGAGCGCATTCAGGTAGACGCTGTGCTGCAGCTCCTCAAAGCGGCGCCATCGAGCCAGGCTATCGAGGTACACAATATTCGATTGGACAGTCGAAGGATCAAGGTTCGTACGGGCAAGGTGCGCCCTGGTATTCTGAGCCTCGCGCAGCTCCATCAACGCTCTGTGCAGGCTGAGTTGTGAAATTCGCTCCGCCGTCGTGTTCGACATGCTCTCGTATTGCGTGGGGATCATGTTGAGTACTCCTAGGCTTACGACAGACATGGGCTGGATCTTGAGGAGTGATCGCTGCAGGAAATGTTCTGTGCTTGAGTACTCGGCAGGTACGGACTTCAGCATCCTGAAAGACGTCATGATAGGCCGGTCAACAAACAAGTCAGGATGGTTGCAGACTTTGCGCAGCTGCATCAAGCAGTTGATGATGGAAAGGTAATTGCCCGAAGCGAGAGTTTCTCGTGTATCGGTGCGAGCCAAGAACCCGTCGTATAGTTCTCGCTGACGTTTCGAAAGACGGCAGAATTCAACGTGCTCGTACTTTGCTGGCATCTGCTTCTCTACATCGGCCTTGAGTCTTCGTAATAGGTATGGTCGCAAAACTTTGTGTAGCTTGGAGATGATGGCACGGGCTTCCTCGTCCATGGTCTCGCGGCCATTTTCCAGGATTTGAGACTCTGGCTTGTGAAACCAGTCATGAAATTCTTGCAAATCGGCAAAGCCTCCGACACCATTTTCGGCAGGCATCAAGAAGAAGAGCAGTGACCATAGCTCGGTGAGGTTGTTCTGCAGCGGTGTGCCTGTAAGGAGCAGCCGAGAGTGAGTGTTGAATCCGAGCAGGGTCTGCCAACGTTGAGACTTGAAGTTCTTGATGTTGTGTGCTTCATCTAATATCATGTAGTGCCACCGGCGGCGTTTGAAGACCTGCTGGTCTTGAAGGACCAGTTGATACGACGTGATGCAGACGTTCCAGACATCGTCATTGTTCCAGCCCTGGCGTTTTCTTTTCCTTTCCTCCTGGGTTCCGTAGTAAGAGAGGATCTTGAAGCCGGGACACCACTTCTTGAATTCCATTTCCCAGTTTAGCATTACACTTGTGGGGACGATAACAAGATGAGGTCCCCAGACTTCATGATGGCAGGCCAAATGAGCAAGCAGAGAAATGGTCTGAATGGTTTTACCGAGACCCATCTCGTCTGCAAGAATGCCGTTGGTATTGTTGGCATACAGCCCAGCAAGCCAATCCAGTCCATCATGTTGATACTCACGCAGTGTTCCTCGAAGAAGGAACGGAATTTCTGTTTTGGCAACTTGCGGCGTATTGGGGGTGGCAGAGCGGCTGACAACATCTTTGACACCTGGTGTTGCCAAGGACATAGAGTCCACTTCAGAAGGTTTGGTGTCGGATGTCGGAGGTGAGTGACTTTGTTCCGGACTGGGTGGCACGGTAACGATGTCAGTATCAGGGCTGGCACGTTTTGCCGGCGCCACTGTCATAGGATCTGTGGCTACAACATCCAATACATCTGTCTTGGGCGGCGCGTCCTCCATCTCAACATCCTCTTGTGTGGTAGCTACATTATTTGCATGATTGGCGGCGACTGGGGTGTCGACGCCATTGGTTAGAAGGTCTTGATCGTTGCCGTTGCTTCTTTCAACGTCAGTCTTTGGTGAAGGAGCAGGAGGCTGTTTATCAGCTTCTACAGTCTCAGTGCCATTCACCAGGCTGCGATGTGCTTCGACTGAAGGCTGCGAAGTATCCGCCTGGGTGGTTTTGTCGTCCACCTCCATTCCATCGTCATCAAAGTACAGACCAGGATGTTCAATCAAAGATACTTCATCCTCATCGTCGACTGGTTCATCTCTGAAGTGAGTGGAAGCCTCCGCTTGTGTAGGAAGTGTCTCAACCGTAGGCGCATCATCCTTTATCGGTAGCTCCTCGTCTTTGTCTGGCGTCTCATCCTTCATCTTCTTCAATTCGGATTTGCCAAACAGCATACCTAGTAAGCCGGCGGGCTCCTCGTCATCCTCCTGTTCAGAGCCTTCGTCCTCGTCGCTGCCATCGTCACTGTCATCCATATCGGTAGATCCAAGATCATCATCCATGTCGACGGACTCATCACTGGTATCATCTTCACCAGCTGTCGTCGCGGCGGCTTCGGTTTCAGGCTTTGACTCCACACCATTCGTGAGTTTTTCCTCTGATGGCTCATCTTCAGCCAAATCAGGGAGATTTGCGTATTTTGCGCGAAGTTGTTCTTGGGTGAGCTTTTCGTCGCCAGCGTCGCCAGCGTCTCCGGTGTGATCTTCGCCCGCTCCCTCTTCATCGGATGATGACATGACATCGTCGTCTTCGTCGCCGGAATCGTCATCATCAGCATCTATCGACAACGCTTGGCTGTTATCGACATCGCTATCAAGATCACCGAGGTCATTGTCGTCGTCATCATCATCATCAAGGTCCTCGTTAGATGAAAGGTCAGAGTCGGCTTGTGCTCGTCGCGCTTGTAGCTTCTGCTCGGAAAGGTTGACTGCCTCCTGTAGCGCAGCTTTGACTCTGCGTTGCTCCTCCGCCTCCCACTCTAGTACTCGCCGGCGATTGATCTCGAACCGAACATTTTCCCATGTTCCAAACATGCTCTTAACCACCACCTTATATCGGCCGATCCACGCCTCCCTTGCTTCTGCTTCGAGTTCCTCGGCCGATTTGGGCTGTCGGCGGAGCCAAGCATCTCTGCAAGCTTCCGCAACCTTTTTGGCTTGTGCTCGATGCCGCTGCTGCTCAGCCAGCATTAACTTCCGGAAGTTGGCCATGGCCTTGGCCATGTGATCAGCGTGAGCCCATTGACGTGGGGGCTCCTCCTCAGCCTCCGGTACGAAAATCGAGCAGCGTTCCTGGGACAGGATTCCTCCAGACTCAACTGCCTCCTCAACTCGGAGGATGATTTGGGCATCCTTCTGAGCCATCTCATCCGTATAAGTCGGGCCATCTTCTGGGACGTAGACGCCACCGTCTTCCACCGGCAGTGTTTGTGCATTTTCCCAGTATTCCTCAAAGTTAGGACCGATCCTCTGCCGCTTACTGACTTGTTCCGGGTGCACCACGGGCAGCTCAGTCGCCCGGACGCGCAACTTGATTCGCGTTCGGTTGGGGCTTGTTGAAGTTGCTGTCGGAAGATCCTCAACAGAACTGCGACGGCCGCGTCGTGTACGGGTGGATTGCCTCAGAGGCTGCGCAGACGGTGAAGGGGATCGTTTCCGCGTCGATCGAGCAGCAGATCTGGTCTCGTTGGATAGGGACTTTCGGTTCGAAGTCTTGAGCGAAAGGGGAGCAGGCTTAGCGGCGGTCGGTTTCCGAGAAGGAGTTTTTGAAGGCCCGTTGGGTGTGGGTGTTGTCGCATGGCCATTTGTCGAGGCATACTTGTTCTTGGAGGGCGGACTGCTGTGAAAAGCTCCTCGCGTCATGCGCTTACCGGAGGGCGGTTGGAACTCGAGGGGTAAGGTGTTTATGCGGCCAGACTTTCGTCTTCCGTTCTCTGTGTAGGAAGTCGGGCCATCGGCGCCAGCCTTTTTCCATGGGGGCGATATCTGTTTCGTTCGTCCAGAAGAGGGAGGAGGAGGTGTAGATTCTTGAGTGCGGCGTCGTTTCGAAGGACGTTCGTTTTCATCGAGAGAGGAGGGGATGGGCGGAGGCGAAAGAGGAGAGGGAGATGATGGTGAGGAGCTTGAGGATGGCGATTGCGGCGGCACAGGGGGGCCGAAGCCGATGAAGTCAACGCCGTTGGGGGTTAGTTGGTCCCTGAAATCCTCGGATCCGAGGGATTCCAGTGGTGATGAGGGCGGATCGGAATCATGGTGAAGAAGGGGCGCGGTTTGTTCATGGCGTTGGGCGTCGAAGGCATCCGGAGTTGCATGCGCGGGTTCGGGCGACGCGGTCTTGGTCATAATAGCAACGGAGGGCGGACGCGAGATGAGGCCGTGATCTCGACGAAAAAGGCATCTGACGCATCAAAATTAATGTCTACGGAATCGTCGATGCTCAGTGAGTTCTAGTTCCAAGTTTGAACATGATGACACGTCTAGGGAGCCAGCTGCGTAGGAATTCGTGTGCAAAACCAACGTCACCAGCCAAAAAGTTTGGAGATAGATTTTTTGCAAAGATGCAGCTCGGCCTTGCCTGGGGCTAGCCAGAAAGAGAATTTGGGACCACCACCAGGTAGGTGCAGGTTCTGTCTGGGTACGGATACGGATCCAGGTAACCACTGAACGTTGTCTCCCTTGAATCAACCACCGCCACCACTATACTACCGCTACAACCACTACTTAGCATTAGTCACCGGGGGTGGGTAGGAGGGAGTCAGACGCGCCAACCTATACTAGCCTGACCTGGCGTGACAGTGGCCACAGCGCGAATGGACCCACATATTATCGCAGCCTGCCCCTGTAACCCTCAGGCAAACAAAAACGGAAGAGATGGTCAAAGCCTTATTGCCTGAGGCAGAGACCACTTTTTGCTCCAGCCAACCACAATCGAGGGATTTGGCAGTCCATCATCAACCGAGAGAAGCTTCGGCTCTGACCTGCGACGACATCACATCCACGATCAAGCAATTGGGCTGTGTCGGAACCACCACTACGGCCACGGTGCGTACCCTCTTCCCCTCAATTGGCTTCGCTGAACATTACAATCTAACCTGTACCCCTTACTACAGATGCTGTCCCAACGAATCGCGCGGGTCTCGACGATCCGCGCCGCTGCTCAAGCAGCCCGCCGAACTCCCATTGTTCAACAGCGAACCTTCTTCCCGCCTTCCTTCAATGACCGTAAGGTTCTCGAGGAGAAGTACCCCGATTACCCTCAGCTGTCCGAGCAGGAGGACCCCAACATGGTCAGTGGTGATGCCGCAATGGCAATGGTAGACGAGAGGTCCGCATGACCCTAAGGCTAACTGCCCCCGTCTCGCAGAACGGCGGCTACATCAACCCTCCTTTCATTAAGCGCCAGTTCCGCGACCCCCACGGTAACTGGTGGGACAAGCAGGAGCGCCGCAACTTCGGCGAGCCTGTCCACGAAGACCACGACCTGCTCGGCATGTTCTCTCCCCACGAGTACACCTGGACCACCACCGGCCCCGGCCTTCTCCAGATTGGAGCCTTCATTACCGCTTTCTTCGGTGTCTGCGGTGTCGTTTACCTCAACTACCCCGACAAGCCCTCTTACCCGAGAGAATTCCCCGGTGGACTTGACAGAGAGCTGGGTGGTGCTGGAGCTGTGCGGGTATGTTCTGCTACAAGGGAAACATTCCGGGCGACAATGCTGACTTTGAAACAGGCGAGACAGGCTGGAGATGCTGACCCTTGAGGATCCTGACGATTAAATGGTCCACGAACGGGAGAGCACATGTACATTTTAGAGCAGAAGAAGCAATCCTTTGGGCAACACCCAGCAACAAGTTCATATGTTCTTTAAGAAGCCGCATTGGGTGATGGATAAGAGAGAAAGGCGAGACGGACATTTTGACGAATTTAAGGCCATGGAAGCGGGGCCGTAGTGGCTGGGATTTATCTCTTCCTATGCCGTGCTGGCCTCTTTCCCTCAGGGCCCTGATGATCGTTGTATCAAGCGGTAACACCCTAGGAGGGCGAGGTTACTCCCTCTCCTAGCTCTTGCATGGAAGGGTCCATTACGTTTGGTCGTTCCCTTCCATTCTGCTTACTCATTTAGCAAGTGCTAATTGCAGTGTCCAACCTTCATGTTGAAAAAATGTGGAACTACCGCTAATACCAAATAGCTACCCCTTGCCATTTTCTCCCAAGTGCCTCTTATTTCCCCTCCTCGCAATATAATCTACTCTTTCCGCCGGATGCTATTCAGTCACCTGTCGTCCGAAAGACCTGAGTTAGAAAGAACTCGTGTTTGTGCAGACTGTCTTTACTCATCCGTACATGCATATGCCTCTTTCGTGTAGCGCCTTCTCAGCTACCATATCGCCCATGGTCAGGTGCCAACCTGACGGCTATTGCCCTGCATCGTTTCGGCTCTGAGCAAAAATGTCATGTCGAGCCAATATTTATCTCTACCATACACGCGTATCCCACATAGACTTCATCTGCAGTAATCCCAAACCCAGAACATTGTCCAATTACTTCCGTTGCATCGGCAAGCCACGAGCTTCAAACCATCAATACCAGGCCTCCCAGTAAACCTTCCTGGGCCATTCTGCATTATTTTATCGCTCCCCGCGTTTTGCCCATTAAATCCACCCCAGCAAACAATCCAGGATGCGGTATGACGACTGGGACGTTCTGCTCATCGACCAGGCCAACCATACGCCGCTAAGTGAATTTAGGGCAACATGCCATGTCCCTACTACCACTGGTAAGCTGAGGGGCTCGCCCTCCAGGCATATTGTGATGGGAAAGGAGACTATGGACGGTGTTAACCACTCATGTCCAGACACAGGGAACCCTCTTGGCTTCTGCAGCTTGCCAACTGTGACCGCCTTCGTCCCTAGTCTTTACTACGGGACTCCTTTCGGTATCTCTGTTTACAACTGGGGTTCGCCCGCTATCAACCACACGCCGAACCCCTACATCAGCCAGGATGAGCTAGCTTTGTTCGAGATCCGCGTTTTTATCGACGGACGCATGGTTTCGTAAGACAATGTCCTTTTCCATACATCAACTCGAATGATCAAGCTTACAGAGCAGGTTAACAACTTTAGATCACAAAACGCTGTGGCCTGTAAATATCCAACAAGCTCTCGGTAAGTAGAGATTTCCGAAAGAAACTCTCTCCAAGAGTCTGCCCAACTATTCATATCTTGCACGAAGTTGTAATCTTATCTGATTTTTTGCGTGATAGTTTTCGGCGAGAATGGCGAGTTGGAACCACTCCGATTTCCCGCCTTTCGGGAGGAAGTTTTGCACCAAAGCATGTGGAGGCCTCATGATGATCTTGGCCGCATCAAGGTTGTCATCAGCAAGGCCTTCCCCCGAAATTCCCCTGAGCTGCCATTAGATCGTGTCAGACATCTTGTGGTTTTCTCCTTCCAGCATGCTCCAATAGGTCAGATGTTACCCAAGGGCTATGGACTGGGCTTTTGTTAACACCATGGTTTTGAACAGATCTTCTCGAGAGTTCAGCTATTTCTTGGCCCAGCCCAACTGCGTATTACGGTCTGCCAACCACGAGTATCACAGCCCCCAGATATTGTTCTGAACTTGCGGCCACCCAACCCGAGCACTACAATACACACCACCAAGATGTTGCTACCGAGCACCAATCGTCCAATGCTAAGCTCATTTCGGTCACCGCTGACAGGCCATCACCGGCTGTAGAGATTCAAAACGGTGGACGAGCTCAGAGCGCTCTGCCTCAGCGTACCGAGGATGGTAATGCCTTTGGATCAACTCATTCTGACAGCATCACATTGTGCAACAATCCGCAGACCGACCAGTTTGGGAGCCTCCAAGCACTGTACAGCTCTGAGGGCAATGCGGGGGGACGAGGCCATGCTGAAGATTCAATAACTTGGACCGAGATGTACGACCAAGATTCGGTAGATGCGATCACGAATGTGATACATGAGTTCTATGCCCATGCACAACGAAGCCCGGGCAAGGGCTCCTCGGGCCCTGGCTTACCTTGTTATGCATCCTCGCACCACAATACCCATTCTCAAATTGCTTCGAACGCTACTATTCATCGTTCTGAATTCCCCCAAGGCTGTCCACAGGAAGCTGCACCAAACAGCCGGCCAACTGCGTTGGAAATGTCAAACAACGCGGCCGCCATGAAAGCTGCGGTTAACAGTAACGTTCAGACTGCGCCAACTGCATGTATGTCAAAGTTATGCACACCTCTAACAGACGGCTTACTGATACTTGCTAGGTGACACAAGTCCACAAGAAATTTTCTCTCCAACCCCATTTCCCGGCCCATTAGCATCGCACTCCGAGGCCTCATTGGCGCAGATGTACAGCATCCCGCCGCCGACAGCCAAAACCAGGCCAAAGAAAGGACAACAAACTCAACAGACAACTTTCAACCAAATGGCCACTCACATCTCATCGGCACCAACGAATCCAAGTGATCATCCCGAGACCCGTACAATATCTGAGCCAATGATTGCTTCAGTTGAAGAGGCCACCAGCGCCGTACGAAGTCCATCGTCAAACAGTCTCCATCAAGGGTGCTTGCCCGCAGCTCAGGTCCCTCAGCGCCAGGATTTTGGTCGTTCTGTCAGCACCGGTATCGCCAATGGTGAGAACCAGAATCCACTGATCATTGACACGAGTATCAAGGATGTCCGCAATTTTACTCCACCTGGTGTCCAAGGAATTATGGACAGTGCGGGCTTTCTTACCAGTCCTTTGCTTTGATTGAATACCAATTGGCAGTCCGAACGATTGCTCTACTTCAGTTCGAGCAATAGGAATTTGAGTTGCGGAAAATTCTTGGTGTAAGTTGGTTAGTATTAGGCTAGACTGCATTGCTTGTTTGATCTTGTTATCGCGGCTGATTGGGCAGGGTGTCTCAAGGGCGGCTGGCTGC